ATGAGGGGAAAGGAGGGTGGGTTAAGGAAGGAGTGTGGTGAAGTGGATTGAGGCAGTTGTTGCCCTTAGCCTTATTGTATCCAAGTAACTTTAATACTGGGTTTACAGGCTGCGAAAAAGTTTGTTTATATGGTTGTGGCCCTACAGTGGCCCCTCTTAATCGACGTCCGATCAGTGCTATGTCGAGGTCTGCAACAGATTGTCCTCCAAGTAACCACCATTTCTCTATTTAAATGGTTTCTTTTAAATTCCCAACCCCTCACTTGTTTGACCACCGAACTCCCAACTAACAGGGTGAGTTGAAAACAAGACGTTGACTGCCCGAATCTCGGCATTTTCTGATCCAGGATTCAGCACTATTGGACATCACGAAGTAGAACAACTCCACGCCCCTAAGGCACCCGATACGCCATTCCGGCTAGACGAAATACGTCATCTGCGAAGGCGAGGTAGTCGACGTCGTCAATGAGCCCAACTGGGTGGCGGTAGCGCGCGTAGAGAGCGTCCCACTCGTGCTTGCTGATGTCCTCCGCCAGGCCGAGGTTATGCAGCACCCGGCGAAATTGATTCTGACTCAGCGTCATGCGATGCGTCTTGTCGTAGTCGTTGAACCACTGGGTCAGCTGTGTCCGCTTTGAACGCGCCTTCGTGGACAAGGCACACGTGGACGTAATTTAGAGTTCAAGTTGCATGCACAGGGCTGAACTAGTCAGACCTACCCTGTTGCCAATTTTCTTTATAGCTCGATCAGCGGCTTCGGCGACTTCTGTGGGTAGGTGGTTCCTTGAAACGGCACTCTCCGACTGGTAGACGTCAGGCTGCTTCAGGGGATCCTTTTCCAGAAGCGGTGTGGAAAATATCAACTCGATTTCATCGCAGAAGTCCTTCCAACGTACGTCATTCGGATCGTCGGCTTTATAACTGGACACAAAAGGGAAGGCAGGAGGACATAGTAAATCGATAACATCACCCTAATGCCGAGTAAATCAGACTCATAGCCGATTAAAACAAACTTGACCAGGCAACGGCGACAGGATTTTACCCAAACCGTTTGCCACTGTCCCTGTTTGTGGACACAAAAGACCGCTTTTTTTTCCTAGCCTAAGCACAACAAATGTCGCTAGCATCAAGATTTATGAATGACATTTACCCTAAACAAAGCAGCTACTTGAGCTGGATTGAATGTAAGCACTGAGTAATGCACGGAAACGAAACGTGTGGCTATTGGCTAGAAAGGCGACCAATCAATAAACACAGCCAATGTGAGAAGCTCTGAAGGGAAATCAAATAATCGACATTTAATGGGGAAAAACCCAACTCACAAGTGAACGCGTAAATCGCGCACCGCGTATTCTCTTTGCACATATTGGCGTTTGTTGTGGAGTTAAAACAGTGACATTGGTTTGTACCACACACAGTCATGATGACGATGATGATTCAGTTACTGTTATGTACTTTTAAACGCGTCTTACTTCTTGTATTGACCAAACGCCGAGTGATATGTCAGAGTGGACTGCTTTTAAGTGCTTTGGGCGAAAGTTTGGTGACCTTGAATTGCTGGATTTGTTGTGGACCCCAGCATGTGGTCTAGACCCACGCCGAGGCCTATGAATTAACTCTGGCCCGATTACGCTTCCCTGCTACACGGGATGAGGAAAAAGACCAGAGAGGACGTGGACACAACCGTTTACTTCAGAGCTCAACCACGTTGATGTCGTTGTGTCGTTGGTGGCCATTTGAGCTAGTGTATTTATACTTAAGACGTGTGAGTCATACATGCGCTAACATCGAGATCTAGGTGTGAGGATAATCCAAAATCAATATTCGTGCGAATGAGGGGGGAGTTAAGGATCCGCGAGGCTGGTGGGAAGGGGACTTATGTGTCGGAGGATGCAGCATGAATAATCACGATTTACAGCAGGTTGAAAGGGACTGATACAGATCGGAGGCGTTTATGGCATGCCAATGCGACCCGATTCCTCTGTCTTCGACTTATCGCATAATTCAAACACGGCCGACCTTTATGTAAAGTGCGGATACTACTAATTCCACCATGAGTAGGCGAATAACCAGAAACATTTGTGCGCTAAAGGTAGGTTATTTTTTACGAAACTGCCGGAAAACCACCGACAAAGTTGGTTTTGTTCAAATTCTGGGAAAAAGTGACCCGAAATGCTTATTTCCTACAAAGATGCTTTTTTTCAGATTCCGAATTTTATGCTGTCAATCAAAATCCATGGTCATATAAGCTCTTTTAAATATTTTATTGCTGCTTTTAATAAATACGCAAAAACTCTGCTGAAGAATCGCGAAGAGAAGTGTTTGGTCACTTGAGACTGCAAATTGACAAATTGCTGGTATATTTCCCATTTTGGGCCCACACACACCGCCTTTTGAATATTCATATCAACCGCCTGAATCCTATTGGCTCTCCGGACGCTGAAAGTGTTATCAGTCACCCAAAGTCATTCGAACCAATTGCATTTGCGTGATTACAAGATTGTACTCGTTCTTAGTTCCCAAACGAATGTGGTTGGGCGTCAGGAGTAACATAAAGTGCCACTCGAATAATCACTGTAACGATTTTTGGATTCATCTGTAAAAATGTTTCCAGGCTGTGCATAGATGGTCATGGGAAGACGTAAACATCCGGATTTTAGTGCCATTCTCTTCTTTTCTCAAATCCGTACCTGCCTGTCTAGGAACTGGGACGCTAACAACCAAGTTCCAGTAACCAAGGGCGACCATCACTTCATAATCAACACGTTTTAAACAACTTGATTGAGTTGGTCAATCCAATTTGTGAGTTAAAACCAAAGTTCAAAAATCACCCAAGCGTGCATGTTTGCGTTAGCGATCGATAATCAAACGACCCACACCCGCGCTTCTCATTGGCTACAAGCACATCGGACTCCACGAATGTGATTGGTCTATTTGAACACAAGGTGACTTACTAGTGCTCGATGCAGTTAAATTCGGTTTCTTTTAGCGGAATCGGGAGCAGGTTCATAGCCCGCCTAAACTGCTGTCGCGAGATCTTGCCGTGACGCAGGGGATCGTAATCACGAAACCATTCAGACAGCCGTATTCGTTGGTGAAAAACCTGCAACGATCACACCAAAGCGTCATTGAATATTGATTTTTCTGGACTACATCAATTTCACCAACAGCATGGGCACTTCGTGTTACCTCGCGTTTAATGTAGTCCATCACACCAACCACATCACGGACTACCGGCTCGCTTTCATGGGGTTTCTGCTGTTCGTTGAAGGCTTCGCGCAGCCGTTTGATTCTCTTCGGATACTCGTAGTGCAACGACTCCTCAGCCGGCGGATCGATGTCGTTGAGGAATCTGCGGTAGTTGAATCCGTAGTCGTCCGCGTACTTGGCAATCACCGCATCGAGCTGGTCGTCAGGTAGGTGGAATCTGAGGCTCGATATGATCTGCTTGAAGTTATGCACCTTCACGTGGCCCCGATTTATCCTTTGGAAAAAAAGAAGTGATGCTTTAAATCGCAACTACTGAAATTGTGAAAGTAACATCGGATGTCCACTAACTAACTTGTCAAATGCCTGGAATTCTGGTTTCATGTCCACGCGGCGTTCAGTGATGTTGCGGCGAAGGTGACGCATGGCACACCCACAGCGGTCCTTCATCTCCTCGGTGGCCGAGTCCCAATCTCCAGTACCCGGTTTCGGCGCAACGAATGTTGCAGACGGAACGACTTGGCAGAGAGGGTTCTGTTCGATTTCGGGTGCCGTAAAGACTGAAAACGGCGTGAATCGTGTTAATTAAACCGACACGTTTTTGCCGCACCACACTTAGGACAAATCAAAATCTGAAGTTTCGGTTAAGCCTGAATCCAACTCGCTTCGCGGCTACCTGATTGGTTGTTGTCAAGGTCACTCACCTGCATCAACATCGCCGACAAATCTCCTCCAATTCACCCTTGAAGGATCGGGCGTCCAGGCATACGCATTGGCCAATGTTTCAACCTGGGCCGGAGTTAAGTCGTGCATGCCAACACGAGTGATTCCCGCCACGGACAGCGCCCGCTCGAACTGCGACCGACTCACGCGTCCACTGCGCAGATTATCAAAGTCCTCGAAGTACTTCTTCAGCTGGATCCGGTTCACCAGCACGAGGTGACGGATCCGTGACATCAGTACATCGGCGGGGACGTTGTCGCCGACAGACAGAGCCTTCGGCGTCGACAAGGCGTCCCAGTTGGCGCGATCTCGGGGTTTGGGAAACTCGCCGATGCGCGGCGGCGGTTGAGGCTGTGGGTCCGCGTCAGCGTAGCACTTCACGCGCTTCGCGATCTTGCAGAAGGGGTCGATGGCTTGGCAGAGCGCGGCGTAATTCACGAGGTCGGTGGCGGCGTCTGCGAATTTGCGACTCAAGCGTTGACACTCCTCCCAGGTTACGTCTAGTTTGAGGAAGCTGAAAATCCTCGCCATTTGGTTGGGCGTCACTACCTGAGTCAGAGCTGTCCCCTGGAGCGTTGAAATGCAGAATTTTTGTAAAAATCGTGAAAATTTGGAAGATATGTTGGCAAATCGGACTCTTAAATTCCACTTTGTAGGATTAAATGCCTCAATTTTGCCTTCATTTTCTTTTTTTGATGACGTCTTTCTGCCAAAAATGTGGATCATTCATTCGACACCTCCAACATCCAATCATTTTTCAAGATTAACCAATCAGGAGTGTGGTCTTGGTTTGTCCTTGTGGAACGCATGTCCTTCATAATTCGCTGATTATGGCTGGTTGTATTTACTTGAATACACAGAAAACGTTTGAATCGGTTGTTTTCTCTATTCAAGACAGCTCAAGAAACACGCGGGTTTTTCAAACCCAACATTTTGACGACGTAGTCATTTTCAGATGCGATTGAGATTTCAGTGTGATTGACCGATGTTACTATACACGTTCCGAATTTTTATTGGTTGCGACGACTAGTTTCAAAACAAGGGAACAATACCGTTATTGATCTATTGTGCTTTTAATTAATTGGCAAAATTCATCCAAAACATAAGAACATCGTCTATTCTTACGACTCCAGAACATTTGAACTAACTTTACACGCGAGTGCGGTGTTTACAGTCTGTGATCGACCTGGACCTACTAAACGTCGAAGTAACTTCGGATAATGCAAATTTACCGCGTCGAAGTCCTGGAAATATTGATATGTTGGAATTCTTTCACTGCGAACTTTTGTTCTTAGACGCTTGATTGTCTCGGAGACCTTTACCTCGTCATCCTCACTCAGTGCTTGCAATGGCTAAAGCAAACAAAAGACATTTCGAGGAACCGCGCATTTCATTTTGTCTTCACCTCCTGCAATTAACCTTCTTTTGTCTAAGCCAACCATCTCCACAGGCCCTAGCTATTTTATTCTGCATTCGCTTGGTCGGGAATATGCACCAGACCGTGGTCGTTATCCAGATTAGCAGGGCTTTGAGACATTCATAAAGTTCAATTTAGTCTACATTTTAAGTTATGCTGGAGTTAAGGCCTATTGGAAACACAGGTGTTATCATGACTAGAACTGCTGTAATTGACGCCATTTCAAAGCAATATATGTAGCAGTCCTTGAACAACAATCGTGTGGATCCATGTTGGTTTTGGACAAAGTTAAGGACTTCTTGAAGTCCCATTCCGTTCTCTGTTAACACGGTAAAGACTTTCTTTGCCAGTGGAACTGTGTGGTTAAAAAAGGACTGACGTACCCTCGAAGTTGCTCCTGTGTTGGGAACCAATGGTTGCACAAGAGGTGCCTTGCACAAGTCCATTTCATGAAGGGCTAAGAATAAAAGTGGGATGCACGATCACTTCCAGATGAAGCAGAAGCACAGAAAAATTCACTACTTAAACGTTAGGTTTAAGTAGAACATTAAGTAATCGTCTGACGCAGAATTTTATGTGAGCTCAGACGTAGAGATACGACCTAAGCAGCAACAAAATATTATGTTTCTTTTACTTTCAACGGCATATGAAATTTTTGGGAAACAATTTACATCTAGATACATGTTCAAATGCATTTTAAGCACCTTGACGTTTAGATAAGTATTCGGTAAACTTGTCAACTTGAAAGAACTTAATTAATCTTCTAAGTGACAACGAAATGCTAAATCGTATCAGTATTAAATAGTGACAATAAATTACAAGAGGCTATACAACTTACGCAAATCTACCTCTTCACAAAAACCTTGATACGAAATCATGAATTTATTTTTTTTGGATCGGAAGTAATTTGCGAGCTTTTGAATATCGGTGGGCTGAAGCTTTACAGACCTCTCCAGTGCTCGACCGAGTACTAGGTTAAATTGGTGCTCGGTGACTTCGTTACGCCTTAACGGATCGAAATCTCGAAAAAAATCCCTAAACCGGATTCCTTGACGGTACGCAACAAATGCGATGCGTTCTAGAAGCTGCTGAACTGACGGCGTTTCAAGTTCTGTTTTGTCAAAAATATGTGTATCTGGGTTCTTTTCCTAAAAGAATCAATTAAAATCACAATAACTCGACGAGAGGCCAGATCGTACAGCAACAAATAGCATGAAACTACCACGATAGGGACTCCATGTTTAGCAACTTTTTCTGCTTGATCAAGATCGATAATGTCGTTTTCAAGGCGTCTATAGTCTACCATTCCCGGACGATTCGGTACAGAGTATCGTTTAGCAAGAGCGCATATTTCAGCTTCATTTATGTCTGCAGGACCCGGAAAGTTGCGAAAGAACTAATATTTAGATTTTACAAAACAACGGTACTTGATTTTCATTAACCTTTCCTGAGTTTAGAGGGTCAAAATCTCTATAACATTCACGAAGCACAATGCCTTTGTATTTAATAAATTGATTTATCCGCGATATAATGGGTCTGAATGTTTCATTATCTTCAATGGAATCTTTAGACATACACCCGTAGTGATTTCTAAGTACGTTATCAAAACAACGGTGTTACCTGTTAAACTCAGCTATCTGGTTTTGTGGAAAAATAGAAACGTCATTTTCCTCTATTTTAGGATCGATGCAACTAGCAAACTTCCTCCAGTTGATAAAAGTACCATCGCCAAACTTCTTAATAATATGCTTTTTTTGCTCATCGTTGGCAATAAAACCAAAGTTTCTGTCTAAGATTCTGAAGAAAACGTCCTCTAAAAATGCCAATTAAGAAAAGACAACAGAATAATACCAGATATTTTGCCATGACGCAGCTTATCATAATCTATAAAATATTCTGTCGCCCTAATTCCTCTTTCGTTTGCGATATCTCGAAGACATCCTTCAATTTTGGTAATAGGACTTAAACAGTCCATTTGCTTTAAAATCGCGGTATTTCTTGTTGTGATGACACTGGTTATGCAAACAACCCTGTTGGCCAATGGACATAGGAGTGTTAATCCCAAGGTTATGACGTTGGCTCAATGCTTCTCAGGAATTTTATTGCAGCAATTATATCCTTTGCTTTTTATCTAACTTATTACAAAATGACGGTTTTTATATTTTCGAGTGGACAAATCTTGCATAAAAGTCCATAATTGTAATTTAGAAAATGAGTTATGAGCATGCAATTTCGCGCTTATGCTACACTTCACTGATTACATTTTCCTGTAACAAACAACTAGACAGGATGTTGCTTACGTCCCAGAAAGTAGTTTTACTCTTAATAATAAAAATTTTGTTTTTTAAAAAAAAGAAATAAATTGGCAGCAATTGAAAAAAGATACCTTTTAAAAATGACCAGAAACCGAGGAATTATTTTAATGTGCAGTTTCATTTTGGAACTGTCTCTTTCGTTGTACCTTAGCACGCTATTTCATATTACCTAGCATATAACCCAACATAAATTGGTTAGATCTACATTATTTTATGAAGTTCGACATAACGAATGCATTCTGCCTCAATGTTGAATTTTTATTATAAGATAGGCAAGAAACTGAAGTATACATCCAGTACTATGTCTGTCTATGTCAGCTAATAATGAATCCGGTTAAATATAAGAAAGTATTAAAAAAGCTGCCTATGCGTGCTTGCAACTTTACCATAAATTTGCAAAAAATTTACTGAAATTAAAAGGTAAACTATTACATGATATAAAGGTTTACATTTTAAAAGTGATGCCGACAAATGAATAAAGTTACTTAAGTTTTATCACCTATTGCAAATGGATGCAATAAAACCTTGTTTTCAGCAGAGGAGAAGTAGAGCACGTGAGCAAAATTTAGAGGTAGGCAATGATTTTCCTTAATCTTATAATGAAATCAAACTCAAATCAATGGGTAGAAAGATATCTGACTTTTGAGCACTTATAGAGTACTAGGCTACATAGATTATGCGTACCTGTTTTTATGAAAAAATTCCCCAATAATAAGCGTGAATTTAACATGGCTATTTAAATTATGTGTTGAGATTAAACCCTGTGGTTTTTTGAAATCTCCTAACAAATTTATAGCATATTAAACTGAAATTAAGGAACTAAAATTAGATTAGTATTATTGCTTGGCTTAATGTTTTTAAGAGATTTAACTGAGGAGCTTTATGTTGACATGATCTTAATAGTTGTGATTAATGGTTTGAAGAATAACAATCGTATGAATTGACAGCTATGTGCTAGACCAAATGATTACAGTAGAAATGAGCTGCGTATTAATATTGAATAGTTAAAAAATTACCTGCATTTTCGTATAGCCCCACTGAATACGTGCTGCATGATTCGGCAAAACGACCTGCAATAATTCAGATGGTATCAACATCTAGGTCTTGTCATAATATCAATGTTGTTTTAATTCTGCTTAATTATCGTACCTACATGTATGATCAGATTTAAGATAGCTCATCTTTCCTTTGTAAGGGCACTTCTCAAACAAATTAAACACTCTGATTGGTTTTATCCCCATTATGCCACGTCAGCAACTACTTTGACTCTTTCGCATCAAATGTTAGAACATCTTAACATTACTCTGCTAGAAGTGCTCAACATGTCAATTGGGTTAATGTACTGAGAATGGTGTTAGGTGGAGGCAACTGGGTTTGAAAGGCGACGACAAAATGAAAGAAATCAATTAAAAAATGGATTGACTATTATGTGGATGTGGGGCGAAAACTCCTCATTGCTAAGACAACAAAAACAAAAATAAAAGATTTAAAAACTTAAATTTCGGAATTACGATTGTGCAGACGCTACTGACAAGTGTGCCAAAATTTTTGCTAAGTTGCTATTTTATAGTTTTAACCTTTTTTTGGAATGTCTTACTGCCAAGTCAATCGCAATCCTTAATGCCTAGGAGACCATCAGTAACTACGACAGTTCAAAACTAATTAAAGTAAAAAATTTTGCCATAAATTCTCTGCATCGATCTTTTACTGCCTGAAATGGACTAAAATTGGTCAAAATTAAAGTTTATAATTACTGATTCTTATCTGCGTACGACGTCAATTGACATTTATAATTCAATCTAAGAATAAAGAGATTTTTAATATCGGAGATTCAAGTTCTGTGCGACTTGGAATTTAATAATGATGGACTAAAAATTATGTAAAATATCAAATAGTTTGATGATTTTGAGCCAGCAGTTGCACAACAGGTATATAACCACATTTACAAGATTAGTAACTCCCTAAAACACACTGAGGTTATCTACGGGCATCGGAGCTAGAGCTACTGACTAAATGTTTGACTATTTGTATTCAAAAAAAATCGTCGATAAACAAACATTTAAACTACCATTCCTCACAAAAACACCTTTAATTCAAATCTGTTGGTAAAAAATAACAGCCGAATTATTACGATTTTTACATTTCGGACATTTAGGCAGTGTATTTCATGTCTTATTCACATTCGCATGATAAACGCGGCTATCAGTAGGGCATATCTTTTCATTTATCTACCACCACAATGAGTTTGATCGCTCTAATCGGTAAAATTAAATGGAGATAGTTTCTGGTTTTGTAAGTTCAGTAGATTCAAGAATTTAAGATCCTTTTAATGTTGACAGCAAAAAGGTAGCAGCATATCATGCTATCTAGACTTATTACCTGCATTATAAAATACCTTAGCGCCCCTTACTATTCTTAGCATTCCCACGAATTGTGTAGACACGCATGCCAAAGCACATGTATAATCATGCCTCCTTCGCAGCTCCGTCCACACAACTAATTATTTCTTCAAGACCAATTTTTTGCTAGCACATCTGAATTTTTGTGCACAGTTTTAATCGTCCCATCCCATCCTTGCATTTCTACGATATTTATTATTTTGATGATTTTTTCACAACTCTGTGTCACGAAAAAACCCAAATCAAGCAGTAATATATCTTAGTAGCGCAAACATGTTAGAAAATCATGAAAATTTAAAAAAAAACACAAAAAGAAATGTTAAATCTAGTGAGCATTAAAAAATATCGTGATTTCAGCAACATTATCATCACCTACATCAACCGCACTTTTTGATTAGGCGGGGGTGCCTTTTTAGCCTCATTTTCGGCGTGAGTGTAATTGTCGTTTCTTCTCTTCTCTATTTTTTAGCATAAAACAACTAGCAAATATTTTGATAGTTGAGCGTCAACATTCTTTTTTTAAAACAACCACATTCTTTTCTTCGTTGTCTGTGTTAACTGCCGCAGCAATGATTGATGTCAACTTTTGTTGTAGGCACTTATATGCTACACTTGGCTCATCTTCTATAGGAACTTCAAGTTAAATGTAATTTATGTATATCTGCATCACTCGCTTACCCAGTTTACATATCTGTTATCTAGAAAGACTTTTTGCCGACACTATCCAACAAAACTGGGCACTTCGTAGAAAATTGAAGTCGTAATGCCTTTAATTTATTCCAGAGAATTTTCAATTGCTATTTAATTTTTAGAGAATTTAGGCAACTTACAATGTTTGTGTAGGAACAAGTTCGAGAATTCCTGCTATTTATCATAGCTAAACTTGCTTAGAACAGATTTCCTGAAGCGCAAAATCTGTTTCAGGCTGTTGTCACAAGGTAACTTGTACAAATAGGGCTCATATGTATGTCTACGCGGCAATTTTGTTCTGTGTAGCTTAATTGCTTGACTTAAATGAATATAATGAACATATGTACCCGTTATTTCCATACTTAAATATTGATTTGATATATATGCTTCGGTGTTGGCCATTAAAGATGTGGCAGTAGACTCTTGGTTCAAGCAAACATCGTAGTCTCATTTGTCGATGCAAATTGGTTTTTCCACTCTCATTTACTCGTATTTCCGGCGCTTCTGAATCACCTTTATGTCAATTCGATTTCACCGATGAGATCTTGCAATTTCGTTATATTTTGCACCAGTTTAGCAATGCGAGCAGCCATTCTCAGAAACCTAGGTCGTCAACACAAACTTGTTCACTCGGCTTTCAGAAGCCTCAGCGGTTCTTCCTCTGGAGTAAGAAATCCCTTAAATTTTTATGAGCCACTTTTAGCCCTCTGATATCCGGAAAATTCGGAATATTGGCATTTCTGCCCACATTGATAGCGGCAAGACAACAGTCTCGGAACGCATTCTGTATTACACCAATCGTATTTCTTCCATGCATGAGGTGAGTTGGTTTGTGTTTTCGATCACCGTAAGTACTCGATTTCCCGGTTGCTGCTAGTGTCATTTAATAAAAGCGATTATTGTCGGTGCTAGATTTAGACTCAAATCTCAAGTTCCTATCTACCTCAAGTGTTATCTTGTTGAACTTTGGTCATTTATCCAAACAAGGTTCGAGGCAAAGATGGCGTTGGGGCTGTAATGGACTCCATGGAACTTGAACGTCAACGCGGGATCACCATTCAGTCGGCTTCGACTTACACCACCTGGCGCGGTCACACCATCAACCTCATCGACACGCCCGGCCACGTGGACTTCACGGTGGAAGTGGAGCGGGCTCTTCGTGTCCTCGACGGAGCTGTCCTCATTCTCTGCGCCGTCGGTGGAGTTCAGAGCCAGACTCTGACGGTTGACAGACAAATGAAGCGCTACAAGGTCCCAAATGTGGCGTTTATTAACAAGGTGGACCGCCTCGACGCCAATCCTGACCGCGTTCTCCGACAAATGCGGTATGTCGCATTTCCAGCAAGTTCAACACCTATACTACCACGGGCGCGAGGCTGGATATACGTGTTTCGTGCATTTCGTCGTGTTGTAGTGACAAGCTCCAATACCACGCGGCCTTCGTGAACATTCCAATCGGATTGGAGTCCAAAAACGTGGGCATAATCGACTTAGTGACTGAGAAGGCTGTTTACTTCGACGAACCTCAGGGCCTAACTATCCGCGAGGAGGAGATTCCCAAGGAGATGGTTGCCGAGGCCAAGGACCGTCGGGCTGAAATGATTGGTACGAATTTCGCAACCAATCCCCTTCATTTTCTAAACATGCAGTCAACTTTATGCCCCTCATGGCTTGTAGAACATCTGGCTAATGCGGACGAGGAGATTGGTGAAGCCTACCTGTTGGAGGGTTCGCTTTCTGTGGACCAGCTGAAGGCGGGCATCAGACGCGCCACTCTCGCCCACCGCTTTACCCCCGTGTTGGTGGGCACGGCATTGAGAAATCGTGGTGTCCAACCCCTAATGGATGCCGTCGTGGACTACTTGCCGAATCCCTCGGAAATTCCTCACTTTGCTCTCTTCGAAAAAGACGGGTGGGTTCACGAGCCTCCATTCGTGTTTCAACAACGGTCTTCATCGCCCCAACATTCCACAATCGATTGACACCTGTTTGTTGTTCGCTTTTAGCGAGACGACAAAAATTCCTCTGGATGGATCTCGAACTTCCGACGCTCCCTATCTGGGGCTCGCCTTCAAGCTGGAGGTTTGTTCCATCGATTCCATCTAGCCTTCACAACAGTCGTCTTCCAGAGCATGTTACTGGTATTTGTTTATTGTTTGAACCAGGCGAGCAAATTTGGCCAGCTCACGTACACGCGCGTCTACCAGGGTTGTTTGAAACGCGGTGAGTCGGTGCGCAATACTCGAACCGGCAAGAAGGTCCGAGTTCCGCGTCTTGGTCGAATGAACGTCGACACCTTCGAGGAGTTGGAGGCTGTCTACGCGGGCGACATTGCCGCCCTCTTTGGTGTTGACTGCGCCTCCGGTGACACCCTTGTATCACCCAACACCCCCATGGAAAAGCTTTCCATGGTAAGGCGCCTTCATCTTTGACCTCACAACACTCCAGACTAGGGCTTTGACCCACTTCTTTGCGGTTTTTCAAGGAATCCATGTACATACCAGAGCCTGTTGTCTCCATGTCCATCACACCCGTGGACAAGCACAACGTGGACGCCTTTAGCAAGGGCTTGGCTCGTTTCACGAAGGAGGACCCGACCTTCCGTCTGCAGCACGACATCGAAAGCGGGCAGGCGCTGGTCTCTGGCATGGGTGAACTGCACCTTGAGATCTACGCGCAGCGTCTTGCTCGTGAGTACAACGCGCCGTGCGTTCTGGGCAAGCCGAAGGTCGCCTTCCGCGAGACCCTTCTTGAGGCCGTGGAGTAGGTTGAAGCCATGGAAGGCGCCACTAGATGGGAGTCGCTTTGCTCTAAACGCGCGCGCGCGCGCTTTTTTTGCCTCCGTGCAGGTTCGACTACCTGCACAAGAAGCAGTCAGGCGGGGCTGGACAGTACGGCCGCGTTATCGGCGTGCTGGAACCCCTACCAGCGGAGCTCAACACTCAGGTGGTCTTCTCGGACGAGACTGTGGGCACCAATATCCCCAAGCACTACGTCCCAGCCATCGAAACGGGCTTCAGGAACCTGTGCAACGCCGGTGGCAGTCTGTGCGGCGCCAAGGTTGTTGGCGTGCGCTTCCGCCTCCAAGATGGCGCTCATCACTGCGTTGACAGCAGTGATTGGTCGTTCCAGTTGGCCGCTGAAGGAGCCATGCGACAAGGTTCGTGTGTATATGGTTTCAGAGGTCACGGTTTCGACAGCTGTGTGGAACTCCCTCCTTTTCATTTGCAGCCTTCGCTGAAGGCAAATGGACCATCTTGGAGCCAATCATGCTGGTCGAATGCGTAGCACCTGCTGAATTTCACGGCCAGTTGCTCAGCTCTGTGACACGCCGCAACGGCCTAATAGTTGATACTGACGTTAGTAACACGCAGGCTCGCGTTGTGGCCGAGGTAAGGCGATCTTCCACTAAACTTTTTTCTAAAAAACAATAATCCTAGGTCCCCCTCAATGACATGTTCGGTTACGCTGGCGAGCTGCGCGGCATGACCGAAGGCAAGGGTGAGTACACCATGGAGTACTCCAAGTACTGTCCGGCGCGCTCCGACACCATGGAGGCAGTCATCGCTGAAGCGGAGGCTGCTAGACAGCAGCAGCAGCAACAACAACAGCGCCAGGAATCCGGTGGTGGCGCTTCGAAGACGAAGAAAAAGAAGCGCAACTAGTTGGGCTTTCATGTGTAACTCGCTTTGACCACTCTTCTTCTTCTTCGTGTATAGCAATCCCCCCTTCCACCTCCCCTCCCCCCTAATGATCTTAGCTTAAGATGGCCGGTGAAATTGTGCGGTTGTGTGATTACTTGGCAAGAAAGCAGTGTTGGTTTTCACGAATAGAACGCGATTTGTGCGTGCGTGTGTGTGTGTGTGTTTGATCCCCAGGTTTTTAATTAGTCTCAAAATTGAATCTGACATTGGTCACATAACTGGAAATGCGTTGAATCCCGAATGAGTTGAGAGAAGCACGGACCACATCCAAATCTCAATTGCACTGTAAAAAGTTGTCGTTGCAAAGCTGATGTCGTTCTTGAGTTGCCTCCGATGAACCAAACGACCAATTTTAGTGTTTTTTCTGTGTGCTGCTGGTAAAATTGGATTAGAATGTGGTCAACTAAAAGCGAGGCGAATCAGCGATTTACAAAGGTATCGTGTTCTTAAGGGAGTGCTTAAAAATTGCGGTACCTACAATTCCAAGTAAACACCAATCAGAGTGCGTTTTGGCTTCGTCTTGACATCTAACCTTTTTGGGCGTAATCGCATGTTGAGCACGGCCAAGTACTTCGACCAATTAATTTGTCCAGAACGCTGTGAATTGAAGAACAGGCATTTTTCTCTGTAGCCTGTGCAATTTCTTCCTGAGCAAGTACAAATTATTGGTAATCGATAAAGGGAACTACTTAAGGAGGTCAATATGTCACTCTTTCTAGTGAGCTGACGACTTAAATACAGTGCAATTTCACTTGTAATCCTAAAGGTCATCTGAGACTGTCTCTAGTACCTCAAGATGAGATCACGTGTACAGAAGTTACGCGCTCAATTGACTACGACGCTTAATCATTTAGTCAAGGACGGCTCCACAACAGATGCCGCAGATTGACTAGCACACGGTGGACTGAATCGATGCAACTTGCCCAAGTCTGCCTAGATAATTGGAATTTTGGCTTGGCGCTGGAGTTGTTTTCGCCGTACACTTGATATTTTTGTATGCAACATCAAACAAACATGTACACATTCGACCTCAACTACACTACGCGTGTATCTAGTCTGGTTTTTGCGCTGGGTTAGAGTTAACCTGGGCACTGGACGTAGAAATCCGTGAATTCCTTTGGACCACAGCGCGGATGATGTGGAAGCTCCCCTCCAGGTCCATGTCCTCTTGGTTCCGCGTGGCAGCCGCCGACTCCGTCAGGAGGTTCGATGCGTCGTCGTAGGGACCGGGTGTAAGAGTAACTCGACTGAGACAGAACACGGCGGCCGCGTTGTCGAACTCCCCGCAGTAATTCGGGGCCGAGAATATCGTCACGAGGGAGCGATTGGCGTAGAACTCGTAGCCATCCTCCACGACCTGGTGAGCTCGGCAAATGAGATCGAGGTTGAACCTCTCCAGGAACCGGTCAATAACATCCGGTCCGAACATGTACGACACGCCTCTCTCACTGGGCTCCCAGCCATGGGGCTCCTGTGCCTCACCAACCGACTCGAGGTACCACGGATCGGACCAAAGAAGGTCGCAGAGCAAGCCACAGTCTGGCACCTCGCAAGGTCGCACAATCTCCCTAATCTTCCGCTTTAAGTCTCCCAGGCTTGTGAGTTCGGGCGTGAGCATCTCCGGTGAGAGGCCGCCGTGGCAACAGAATATCTGATTCTCGATTATCGCGCACACCGGCATACAGGTGAATGCGTCGATGAAGGTCCTCCACAGCTTCACGGAGTAGCGTCTCTTGCACTCCTCGAAGAAACCGTAGATCCGTGTGATCGCCTGGCTTTCGTGATTCCCACGAAGGAGAAAGAACCGCGTTGGGTAGCGTAGCTTATAACAAAAGAGCAGACTTATCGTCTCCAGGCTCTGTTTCCCACGGTCTACGTAGTCACCCAGGAATAAGTAGTTCACAGTGTCCGGTAGTCCGCATAGCTCAAAAATATGCAACAAGTCACTGTATTGTCCATGAATATCGCCACAAATTTTGATTGGTCCCCCAAGGTCAAGTAGGCCGGGCTGGGAGAGGAATAGCATGCGAACGCTCCGACAAATGCTCGTCATCTCATCACTCGTCAGCATTAGCATCCTGTTGCCCTTTTCTTTTGTCTTCCAAAGTCGACTAATGTAGGAGTCCAGCTGCTCGTTGTTATTGGCAATGGAGGTTTTCATGTTCGACTGGTTACGTGGCCAATCATCCCTCGAGGTGGTAGTGTCCCCCTGTGAAGGTACATCGGCCACACTGTTAGGTCTTGAAAAGCATCTGTTAAGCCACACTGTCTCGTCTCTCACTAGACAAGACTCTGGTGACGTTGGTGTGGTGGTTGCCATGTCATAGCGTTTGCGTGAATGTCACCGCTGTTGCATAGTGCTCGTCCACCATTAAGCACGTGCGACGTCCCGTGAACTGTATTGATTCTGGCCTAACCACGTGTCCCACGGTGCCACGTGCTACAATGGGGCGTTCGAGCATTCATTGATTTTTTTCATTGTTACTGGGACTGGGTCCTTCCTACTCGACATCATTTAAGCAGTTAATCTGTTGGAACCGCGTAGTATGCCTATAAAATCTGCTGCGCTTATAACTGAATGAATCTCTTGATTACGTATAATTTTCCAAGCCACAGTCATAATGAAACCAGTGCTATCACTCCTTGTAAGATTAAAAGTATCTGACCAAAACACAGAATTATCGATTTTGTTCCCTGATTTATGTGTTTGCGTGTACTAGCAAAATTAGGGTAAAACACGATATCGAACAGCCTAAAAGGTAAAAATTGGTGTGCACTGCCCTAACGACGACAATAATTTTTGGATTTACTCTTGTTTGCATGCACCAATCACGAAGCTTATAACGTACTCATGATAATCTTCTAAGTTTGATAAAGATCCCAACTTTTTAATATAATTTAATTTCCGAAGATGCCAATGTGAAGAGTACCTCGCGTCATCCACGTCAAGTGATAATGTTATTAAGGACATTGTTCTGAGGTAATTTCAGTAAGTGGGCGTCAGCGCCCTCTTAATTTAAACTAAGATTGGATCTTCAAGTTAGCTAATAGTGGGTGCTAAATTTTACCACCGTGTTCAGTAGTCACAAATGCTTTTAAATTAAATTGGCGACAAAATAGTACAATTAATGGAAACATTATTTCAGCCAACGATCGCACTAATAGGATCTGCACGTAAATAGCATGTCTCCAAAAGCAAATTGAGATAAATCATATTCTGTAACTTGAGAGTTTATAGATAAATGGATTTGTATTTTATCCAAATATCAGCATAGACGTCAAGTACAATTGTCCACGGTTTGCATACCACCAGAGGACAATAGAACATACTTGGCCCAGCTGATAGAAACACCTATAATTCGAAGTTTTGGCTTCAAATTCTTCCTGGTAGTTCCAAAATCGCATTCGCAGAACGAAGCAGATTTTTTAGTTTGACCCTTAAGAAATAAAGAAATCAATTCCCACTCGACTTAGAGTCGAACAAAGACGTTATAATCTAAAAAAGCCATCAATTTGGTCACAACATTACATCGGTTTGAATACTTCAATAAATTTTCATGAAGCTACAATTTTATGCTTATGCGCATTAGTACATTGTTCTATAAGATAAACAGAAAGTAATCTTTATATAATCAAGTTTTTTGACTAATAATGTGTCAAATATATTAAAAGTGCAAAAATATAAAAGTTAGAACGGATCAAAACGCAGGGTAAAATATCATGTACGCAAACGATAGACAGAGGGAAACGTAAAATTTTAAACAGTGAATGTTGCGATTAATGTCAATAACTTATTACCAGGTATTTAGCTGACTCAGTACATAAGAACAACATATTTTACTTGAGCTGAAAATCGGGTATTTTTAGAACAAAAAAACAACCACAGATTAAAGGCGTTAAGGTTTAATTTTTTACTTAGCAAACACACTTCTCCCAAATTAACCAGTGGTGTAATTAAAAATATTCTAATCTTTGAATATGCGCTAGCCACATTGGTCCCTGAACAAATAATGAACATGTATGATTTTATCCTTTTAGCGGTTGTAGTAAAATTTGCAACTACTACGTACAGACAGTTTTTTTTTAAAAGTTTGTTATATACGTAAAAGTATAATGCTTTTTTAGGGGTCAAATATTATTTGTTTAAGTAGGTTTTAAACGCTGTGCCACTTCAAAAACCTTTAATGTTACCAGTTTTCTCCCTCGCGTTCTTACAATAACACTGGTTTTCAGCATGGTTACTGCTTTATCAAAAGACACGGCTATTTTTGAACCTGAAGCATGAACCTGGGAATGCTCTCCTCTACGCGTTGTCTGGCAATTGCTTTTCAACAAGAATTTGCTCTTGCTGTTCAAAATTTGAACATTTACGACGTGTTCAAATCCTTTCTCAGTGTTAATGTTACGAATAGTGCCAATCCGTACTTAAGTAAAGCATTGAAGAAATGTTTGCTGCTGGGCCACATCGAGCCTTATGTAGTTCTTATTGGTGGGGACGAGTTTTCCTTGCGCACATTGAAGAGTTGCTGGATGCGTGCGCAGTTACAGCCTCCTCCCGGATTTCGAATCGAGTCCATAGGTAAGTTCTTTAAGATATGCGCAAGCGCAATAAACTTTGTTTAGTTGCTTGGATATTTAAATTACTTATCCTAAATTGTTTAAATTTTGAATAAAACTACATATCTTACTGCTAATGATTCTAGTTGATAACTTCCTCTAATTGATTTTTACGGATTAAGTTTTTTGTATTTCGTCGTATACCTGTTTACAAATGCGTTATAATAGCTATAAAGCATCTTTCAGGAACTAACGTTTTCTTTGTCCCGTTTCTCAAATGCATCTCAAACGCGATTTAACTGTGTAAAATATGTAAATCAGTTATCAGAAAAATGTAAACTTGATTTAATAATCCGTCAAGCCGAAATACTGACCATTTTCCCCCCAATCAAATGCATCCTGGAAGCAAATTCATTCGTCAACGTTTTCATTCTAGTTCTTTTTTGTATCTTTATGTTTGTTGACAAAATACACACTTGTCGCACGGTTCCACTGCAATCGCAGCAGACGTTAACTAGTTGGTGTATGTTTTTATCGATTAATAAACATGAAAACTTGCGTTTTTTCTCATCAGCTTCTAGATTAGGCTTCCGAAATTGTACTTACGTCTCGTGTTTCCTTGGGTTCGATTGAAACATTAAAGGTTTTAAGCAACAATATTCCAATGAGCTATTGTGCTACCTGGTAACAAATAATTAATTTATAGCATCTGAACCTGTTTTGTAATTTTGCAGTCAGTTTGCATAATTTTAAGCGACCTGTGGGCTCTAACTGTTCTCCTCACGGCATCGAATCACGGCGGTTACGTTGACTGTTAATTAGCGCCAAAATTTCTTGAGAAAAAAATTACATTCCTACATTCATTTGCAATATTAAAGTTACAATTTGCAAATCCTTGGTGGTGCTAGTGATACTTAAGCCCGTTTGAATGATTTCAATGGAGCGTAAGGAAATCAATTTTTTTACCAATTCCTTGTCTAACTATGGTACATTTATTTCAAGGACGTCTTCTGATTCTTTTCGCGATTTTTAATTTCATTTTTTTTTCAACCACAATATATCTATCTGTTTCGTGTTTCAACGTATTAGTTTCCGGAAGACTCAGAAGTCCTAATTTTTTTATTTTCTCCCTCACTTTCGCTAAAAAGACTAAATATTTGCTACTGAAATACTGTTATTTCTACGCAAGTTATATGCTATAACGTTTAACCATTAGCCGGTATTTAAAGTCTACGTACTCTAATTTTGGTAATAATATTTGCGGTTGACGTGTCATTGCCCAGAAACCTTTGGTAATTCCAAAGTTCATATAGTGTTCGTTTTCCACCCCTCTTTAAAAAAAGGCATTCCGGCGCCAACCGCTTCGAGCAATCATGTTTCATTTTCACTTGACTCTTGTAAATCCTCGAACAGTGGAATGGCGATTTGCCATTAGCATATGATTTAATTCAAGATGTGCAATCCGCGGCAATTTGGCGTGCTGTCCTGTCAACTAAAGCATTATCAAAGCAGCTTGTCGGTTAACCTAATCGAATTAGTAAATAACGACGCTTAAAACTAATACTCTGTGTCTTCCTGGATCCGCAATACCTACTCCTAGTTGAAGTTTAGCTACACAAAAAAGGCCTCATCCGTAAAGTCATCTGCTCTTGAAATTTCTCTGTTCTATGGACGTATTATTGTTTTTTATAGGACACTAGTTCCTACTTTGTTCTAATGCACTGATTGTACTTTCGAAATTGACCTGAATTCGTGCACTTCGACTAACTAATGTACAGATCCATTACATCAACGCCTCATCCGGAGAGCTTTTGAGATATTTCTGGGCCACACATTTGAAATGGGAGCGAGTTTGACGTGGTCAATGAGTGGTTAGAAGTGCATGACTCAGGACTATCTCAGCACCCTACAATTATATAGCGATGCTGTGGTTGGTGTGATATGGCCTTTGGGGTTGTTACCGTACAAGCTATACCAACCCTAGATTCCCAGTTGTTTATTCAAGCCTCCACTGATCTGCGCAAATCGGCAGAACGCAAGAAAACACGGGAGATCAAGTGGACATCACGTTTTCTAAAGCACATTCTGCGCAGTTACTGTCACCGTAAGTCTTCAAGCTATAATTTAGGGTATTTTCGGCAAATTGATCAGAAAATATTGGGGTTTAGGATCTACCGCGAGATTTTTCAATTGCCGCTAAAGTTGTTTGCATCAGCGACGCTAACCACTAACTTCCTCGCCTTATTTTACTATCACTGCCGTTTACCGGATGTTTTAATCGACTGATCAAGTATTGGAGGACACTTCAAGCGTGTGCACGACCTTGAACTTCGGCCGACTGACTTTCACACCTGATTGCACGCACGATTTCTTGGAATTACGGAATGTGGACTTTACGTTAAACTAAACACACGTCACCGGCTATGAGGTTTTGTGAAATCTTTACTTATATAATGGTTCCATCCAAATATCTTGGTTGTTGGCCGAGTTATCCAAAATTCCTCCCACTGGTGTCAGTTGCTGTGTGATTGGCTTATCGTGTTCTGGCGTCAGCTACAGTGTTCTCTGTGTTTGTGACAAGATGTTCACTGACTCGAAACCTCTCAATTCCGCTAATCTAACCCAAATATGTTATTTGACAGAACTCTCACTACACCTTCCATCATTTCTTGCTACTTTCCCGACTTTACTGCTTCTCAAAATTCCTTTTTCCCAATGTGGAAATCAGTAGAATCGCAAAAGAAAAGCGTAAATTAATCGTTCTGCTGCTCGCCTTCCTCCAAAACCTTCTCTAAGTCTGTTGTTTTGATTGACAAAACCGCCGAACAATCGGATTTACTATGTTCCCGGCTTCTTCGCATGTTCACTTCACTGGTTCTCGTTTACAATTACATCCATCACTAGTTTGGCATGAGTTATCGTGGCAAAATGGGGCACGTAAACAGGCCCGAACAAGGCAAGTGCAGAATTGTCACTGGTCGAATTATATGCACATAGCATTAAGCCTTAATGCAAGTGATTCATCTGCGTTGCTAGGTAATTGGCAGGTTTTGGTGTTTTGCGTGCGGGTACACAGTTGTCTTTTTGTATATGTGAGAATATTTGCATATTTAACCTGGAATCCTCTTAATCCGGTGGCATGATTTTCTGCGCATTGGGTTTAGAGCGAAGTCAGAAATGGTTCAGAGCGTGAGATTGCTGCCCTTTCACTGGCAAACGTGAACACAGCGAGTGTGTGTGTGGTGTGTGTGTAGTGTAGTAGAATTTTGCGAAGTTTGGTGCGGAAAAATGCGAGAACAACTGTTTTGCGGCCGTTTCAACTCCTCTGTTGCTCCCTGCACAACGCCAAGTCGAAGTCGACGTGTGCTGACGGATATCTACGCTCTCTCGCTCTCAAACACACTGGGCTATCCCAAGTACAGAAGTCGGATTGTAGGTAGACACCACGACGACACGGCTGTTTACTCGATGACTCAGACCCCTTGTGTGTTGTGTCTGAGCAAATATGATGTCCTGAATGCACACGAGCTCAAGGAGACGGCAAAAGGAATTACCATAGTGACCACGTTACGAGTGAAGACTCAGCAGCTTCGTGTTGATTTCAATGGTGTACATTAGCGATCCCGGGTGCGTATTGTCGGTTCGCAAGGCGTTAAAACAAATAATCCCATCCCATTCTACTTGACAATAGGAAAGTTGAAAAGTCACGAAATCTGTCAATGTCACTTTACCGAAATGCTCGTTGTCGAAGGCAAGCGAATGTCTTCCTGGAATTGAAGATATTCCGAAAGGAAGCACCGAAAGCAGCGGCTGAGGCACGTGAACTGATTTCATCAACTGGAATTCAGGAATACTTGATGGAATCACTTTGTTGGCGATCTCTCTTAGTTGTAAAATCGTGATCATCAATTCTTAGGCGTTTCCAGTCAATCTTACCCATACTGCTTGGATAACGTGCGCATTTGTTCTGCCAAGCCAATTCAAAATGTCGCACCATCCCTCTCGGAGTCAACTCAAGGTCACATCGATTTATAGGGTCAAAGGAGTTCCTCCGAACAAGTGACTAATCGACCACTAATGTGATTACATGTCGTAGTTCATTAGGTTCAAGGTCAGAATTGTTGAAATATGTCTGCCTCCGTTCACCACGTGGAAGTCGGGGTCAGCTGGTGCAATCGTCACCCTGACGACCTCAGTTTGTGGTGGTGCCGAGTCCAACAGGAGATGGAATTTTCGCAGGGCTCATGACAGCGCATTCGCACCCAGGAATGCCGCCTTCAGGCACCCAATTACGTGAATGTCAGCGTTGGTCGTGGGTTGTGTGAAAGTTCGTTTGCAGTACGTCCACACACACACACACGCGCGACACCATCGAGGCTGCCACGCCAGCGTCACAGTGAAGACGCCTCACCAGACCTGGCGACATTCCAAACCAACAAACTCCGGCACACTCAGGTGTGTAACCTGGCGAATTCTACTGACCATTGTATGCAGTGAAGTTACTTGTGCAGATGAGTGCATCTACTTGCTCGAAGGAAACAACCACTGCAGCCACAACACTGCTTCCTGTGTGTTGCACTGCCTCATTTACGCGGGTCTTAGTAAGCTTCGCAGTCTAGATCTGATATGTGGACAAGATTTGCTTGGTTAGTTCGAGTATTCCACCTCAAAGTGCGCGTCGTGTGTCAGTCCTCCCTGGACCAACTGCAAAACGTCACCACTGGAATGCCAGAGAATTTCACAGCACCCTTTCTTGTCACGTCTACACGATAAATGGCTTTGTTCCATTCGTATTATTGGTCTAAATGGGATAATATTTTCCGTTTGAAGCTTGAAGAATGCTTCAACTGATTTGGCATAATTTGACCAAGCATGATAACAATCTTGTCTATAAACGATTAACACTTAACACAACAACGCAAATGATTACTCATTTAGCCCTGTTTGGTCTGTGATCCAGGCAATAAATGAAACCACATCAGGCCACGGGCTGTGACATTTCAACGACCAGCGGCCCTGGATCGAGGCGTACACGAAAAAAGCAGCAAGGTTTTAGTGGCACACAACGACGTGAACGGATACACCATCGCCACCGCCAACACCAGCAGCAACAGCAACTATACTTGGGTGGTCATTTTTTTCTATGTCAAAGTTGAGAGCGTCTGAATGTGCTAGAAGCTCTGAGACTTCTGTTTATCGGTAACCGCAGCTCTCGTCCTCTTACAGTCGCAAAATATGGTGTTTTTGTAGTGACAGTTTCTTGACACTGGCTAACATCTGTCCCCCATCCGCAAACACCCTTCCATGATCCTAGAGAGTACCTTCGTGGAATAATCCCTCGGAATGCCTAATCACAGTTTGAGACACCCAGATGTGATCTGCTGCTTAGAAACAGGTGATCACATCTACTCCTCAACCAATTCACTTCCACTTAACTTTGTAAGTCGCGTGCGGTGGAGTTAAAAAATGTTCTTTAAATGAATCATAACGCCCCTGCCTTTACAACTCCTATTTCCCGCAGTTCTTCAGTGGATGAACTTAACAAAGGATGTATTTTTTTTAAAAAAAATTGACACGCCTCTTTGGTTCACTTTCATCCCCAGCGTCTATTGTCTCGGTTATTTCCGCTTTTGCCGATTCCGCCGCTACCCATTGGGCAGACTTGTCGAAAGCCGACAGTTTTGCATTGTGCCGAGTGCCCGGGCGCTGCCTAATTGGCACGTTCGGGGGATTTGTGTTTCGTGTCTGGCCACACAACTGGAACGAACGGAAAGTCGTTAAAACGTGGACATGACGATATGGAATGGAATTGTCTGCGTCGCTGCAAATGCGGAGCATTCGACATTTATGATCCTGCAGTAATTGATGTTGATTGGCTTCCGTGCCGTGGCTTCGCTCCTTCAATGTGAAATTGATGGTGCGACCAATAAAAACGCAGTGGCGGTTTTTTCACGCTCTAATGAGTATTAATCAGTTCTGCTGCACTGCTGATACCAAAAAATGTTTTTCTTAAATATTTAAACTCAAATTTAGGCAGCCTTTCTACCGACCAGGCCTGACCCAGTGTCGTTTGCCATCTTAAGGTCAATTGTGCTTGAACTTTTAGCTCTGGTCCATTGCATGTTTTTTGCCACAACCAGTCCTAATTAAACGAAAGACTAGGAGACATGGTGTTGACAGAAGTCTTCACACATTGCTGTCACGTCTTTAATTCTACTCCAGGCAGCTTGCTAAATCTTAAAAATCGTCACGACAACTCTCTTGCCCATTTCTCGCTACATTAGTCGTAAGCGTAAACATTATCTTGGACCTTATCTTGAGTTACTACCCAAGTGGAACGCGAAAATTTTATTGCAGAATAAATTCATCGTAGGAAATCTTCTTAATTAATACCCCGTCCACTTACGCATCGTAGAAGTGTATTTTGTGAGTTTTAGTCAAACCTCCATTAAATGCTTTCGAAGTACACTGTGGCTAAATTTAGTTTTCACGACGAGAGCATTAATTCGTCATTTCGAAATTGCCGGGTAGAATTGAGTTCATTTTGATTGGTTCTCAGTTATGCTCATGCCAATCACTTCGAAGTTGGCTCCCGCCTAATCGATATTCGACGCTGAAGCGACTTCAATGGCTAACTACGAATCGCTCCACGTCGAGGCGGTAAAGCCAATTGCCCGGAGGCAGAACAGAATTTGTACCACTCGAATCGCATTTAATCTTCACACTAGCGTGACTCATTGCCTTGGGCAATTAATAAAACGATATCTGGCGTTGCTTGTCTGGCGATCGTAGGGTAAATCGTTTGTTGACTTGTCCAGTACGCTCACTTCTCTGTGCTGATGTTCGTGTGCCGGTGTTTACCTGGGCGATGTTTTTCCGAAATTAGTGCAGTTGACACACGTGAAATTTACGTCTTAGTAAGTTACTCCAGTCTGCGTCAAGCCTCACATACTACTTATCTGCAAGCATCCCGGTAAACCGCGATCTATTCTCTTAGGAATCCAAGGGCAGGAAACGTGTGCCCTGTTTGCTTAAAGTACAAATCTACGGCCAGTGGACATCTACTCTCAGTATGGACTTTTAATGATTCAAGCCAATCACGGACGGAGTAAGGTTGTACACAGGTTTTGGCTACACAGGCTACAGTTCTCAAATTGATTCTTTGTGCGACTTTCTGATGATAAATGAAGCGTCTTTAAAACAGAAAATATCATCACGAGGTACCGAATGATGGTGGACAAATGCTGATATCGAGATTAGACTAATACCACCAGCTTCCTCCTCCAGTTCCATCAACCCGATTGTAGGACACCTCCCATCTAATCGTAGCTTTGATTGTTTAAGTACAAAGTCGAATTGTACTTTCAAGAACAGCAGATTTCAGCAACCTGGTGATTGTTCCTCAGTTGTGGGTAAAGAGTTTGGGAGAAAATTCACGAGAGTTTCCAACTAAATTGGGACGTTCTTGTTTAAGTCAATGCCAAAATTGTAAGCTTCTCTGGCCTGCCTGATTAGTCATTGCATGACTGTACTCAATATCTTCTCCTTTGTACAGAAATAATCACACAACTCCCCGTAAGACTTCATTAAGGCTTGCCTATGCCATCAAACAGTCTTGATTGTCGACGCATGCACGCTTATTGAAACTAATTTATTTCAAATTAAAGCAAAACGATATTAGCGATTTCGAGGTTATGAAAGCAAATTCAGTATGTGATCGTTGCTGCCTTCACACTTATTTATTTCTTTCACGTTCCAGAATGCTGAAATGATCTTTTAAGCATTTGTTGCGAGGAAAAGTTCATTTCCAACTTTCATACCTACCGGAAGCGTGCACTCGTGACCTTTCTGATGTTTTTGTTCTAATATTACACCATTATAATTACAAATCTTCATCTTGTTTGTTTAAACGAACTTGACTGCGGAGCTATTTTTTGAAATAGCAAATGACAGGCTAAATTTACATCATTTGAGTTTAAAGAAAGGGGAGAAGGGAGGTGGACTGGACCCCTACCCCAAGGACGGTTAGAGGGTGGTTTCATCGATTTTAAAATGGTGACTTTAACCCAAATGGTACATATTTCTGTGGGTTATCTTCCGGCATTGATGATGGCTTCATCTGTGATTCCATGAATACTAAAGAGGTCATTAAGAGACTAATTGGTGCAGTTTCACCAACTTAGGAGACTGATACGTGGGTTCCACGCGATTTGACGGATCCGAACAAACTGACCTGTTTCTGCAGCCACCTCTCTCCTTGTTCGCCAACAGAACACATTGAAAATCAGAAGCTGGGATCGTGGTCAGGCAATAACTGCGTACAAGCACTTGGAACAACTCGCCCAACTAATCCTCGTCCATTTGTTGTTGGGTGTGTAAACATTACCCAGGACAACTGAATTAAGGCAGTGATTCATGACGTCTGTTCACTTAGCTCTGTTTAACTTGCTTACAACTCTGATGTCACGCCACATAGTTGTTCGCACCAACAACACCATGGCTCAATGCTATTGGCTAATTACATCGATCTCAGATCACCCGGGTATATATAAGTGGGCGCATCTGGGCATCCACAGGATTCCGGTCTTGGCCCCGTCTAGTACCCGACGTCTTTTGGTCCCTACAGTAAAGTTTCAACTACCGGCTCGGGGATTTCCGTCAACACACCGGGAAAGACGTAAAACATTTACCATGAAATTGCTAGACCACGTTTCGGCCAACAGACACTGCGAATATCCAGGGAGCACCGGTCGTGTTTCCTGGCCTCGACTTTTATGTATTTCGTCCTCTGCAATGTAATGTGAACGGCAAAATTTGATTCATACACTGCAGAGAAAACACGCCGATTATATTGTGAAGAAATTAAACAAAACCATACAAAACACTGGCAGACAGTTAAGTGAAACTGTGGAGTGTACATTGTTGATTACTAAATGCTATTTTGGATGAAAAGGGCTGTATTGTAATTCGGTTTCAAATCTTACGCAAACTTTGACACCAAAAAAGGAACTTCTGGTTTTAACATCTCCACAGCAACGGTTACACATCAAAAAAGTCGGAGATTGGTTCTGATAAGACAATTTTAATCGAATCTGTCGCCGACCCACAGTTTCATGTAAAAACAACATTCATCCAGCAAGTATTTTAAAATTTATCCGTTTATAATTGCAAGGAGTCATTGCCTCGGACAAGCACTGAAAAATTGGTGCTTTTTTGAAAGTTTGCCTTTTAGTTAAACTCTAGATTTTTGCGGTTGATCAATAATGTGACGTTATCGACTCGCGAACTCGTGATTTAGGCTGAATTTCTGCCAAAATTTTGGTTTTAGTAGTATGTGTCGCATTCTGATCAATTTTACGGTGAGAAAATTGACCAACAACGACGAATTTGCACAGCTCACTCCCACATTTAACGCATTTCTTGTGTTTGGGGTGCCAGCACGAATCGAGGTAGGCACGTGGCTGGCCGCAGCCATTGGTCCGATCTGTACATTGCCCATTTTTTTCTTTCAAAATCGCGTTCTGTTTCATTTCAGCCCCTTAGGCTAACCAGTCACACCACCTTTTATATGCCGTGCACTTTTTTACGATGCGAGGCGCGTCGAAATCTGTGGCTGTTTGTAAAAAACACAAGGATGCTTATAAAGAAGACGTTGCCGTAGGTCATAAGGCAGTGTGTTCCAGACATGTTCACGATAGCCTTCGACTTTTGGATTGTCACCAGCTGGCAGGGTGGTGACTCACATAATGATCCAGAAAACGTCTCTGGAATGGCAGCTGTTTGTAACCTGTCAAATTCGACGGTTCTTGGGGATCCAGCAACAACAAATAAATAACCCAATGAATAAGTCCGTAATTCGCGTTCGAAACCGACTTTAAAGTATACTGGAACTAATCCCTATAAACGGACTAGAATCGCTGAACCTCGGAGACGTCGAATCACTAAATCGAAGCCTTTTCGAAGTGTTTGTCATTTGATTCCAGGCGATGCTGGCGGATTGATTTTGAACAGCGTTCCGCAGTACGCATCGATGCGACTGGAGGAGGTAATCTTCCAGGTCATCTGCCAGGTCAGCATGACGGAGCCGACGTGTTCGGAGTCGCGTCTCTACGGGTGTCTGGCCAGCATCTACTCGGAGATGCAGTCGCACCCGCCACCGCGTCAATCCGTCTACGCCGCCATCTCCTCCCTCATCAAGTCCGGCCTCATCTACTACTGTGGTGAGTCCTGAGCGTTGTTTAAACGCACCAAATTACTAATTTATCTTGTTCTTCTAATTCAAACACTTTCTTTTGTTTGAAATGCCCGCCTGGCCTTGAACGTCGCCAATTCATTGTGCCTAGATTGGTGCCACTCAGTTAAAATTGTGGCGGATTTAATTTGCAGAGCGTTTAATTCAAAAAGAGTTATGATTAACATCAGGTTTGTTTACGTGTGAACCCGCTACGCTGATTAACTTGTCATTGATAGCGTTCTTCAGCATTAAACACGTGATTACTCCTGTCGGTCCATCCCGTTTTCCGTGGCTTCAACACCTCGAGGTGTGTCGAATGTGAACAGGTTTTATGGAAGATTACACAGGTCTTCAAAGTAGGTTTCGCCGTCCAATTTTGCGTGGCCGAAATTCAGTAGCAGATACCACTAAGTTTGTTCACACGTAACAACGACATTGTGTGTGATTAAATTTTGAAAAAAATGAGCATCTTAAAGACAAATGAAGCAGACGCCGGCATTGGCGCGGCATCCCGACTCGTCCCGTTTGTCGACATGAACGGGTGATTTTTAACTCGAGGAGTTGTGTTGCCAAATCAGATAGAGGGGCGAATGTAAACAAGAAGTTACCATAGAAAAAACAGAGAGGGTTGGTCGAATAGCGACTAACCACTACTTCGAGAAACCACATCAGGCCACGGGCTGTGACATTTCAACGACCAGCGGCCCTGCATCGAGGCGTACACGAAAAAAGCGGCAAGGTTTTAGTGGCACACAACGACGTGAACGAATACACCACCGCCACCACCACCACCACTACCAGCAGCAGCAACTGCAGCAACTACACTTGTGGGCACATTTCTTCTCCAATTCGACGCAATCCTCACACTCCACACCACCTCATCCCACCACAACTTGTGGTCGGCATTTGGAGCGAAATTTAATCATTCCCATTTTTAAATCTGCCACCGCCTTTTTCTGCAATGATGTTCGACACAAACAACTGAGGTTTTCACACAACTGGCAAACACATGTTTCTTCTGAGGCCATTCTCTCAGTGATGCGTCTTGCCATCCTTTGCAATGCTTCATGGATGTCACATTCGGCTCACAATTGAAGCGCATCACGA